TGTTGCCCCAGTTAGTAATTGTTATAGTGCTGGTGCCTGGAAATTTGGATTGGGTAAATATAGAGAAAGATCCATTATAATTCAACAAAAAAGATTATTGTGACTTGTTATAATGTATTTGTCATTTTCTCTGTATTAGAATCTGTATAATCCGGGCTTCAGTGGACAAAGTTCCAAATTTAGGGAACAAACTAAACAAACAAAACTAAACAAAAACTCAAGATTCATGCTGTGTTTGAAAAATATAAAGCAATGTGGACATCCTTATTGTACTGGGAAACATCACAAGTACCACTGAAGTAAGGAGACAGGGGAAAAATCTCAAACACTAGAATAGATTTTATAAAATCCCTGAGTTAAGAGTCTGTAGCAGAAGTTCCTGTCAGTCTGTCGATAAAGGCTGGTCTTTAAATGAGTTTTTACTGGTTTGCTGCAAAATAAGAAAAATACAGATAATATTGTAAGTTTTCCATAAGGCTAAAATATTTCAACTGAAATTGTTATCTGTTGTTTTGAAGTTATACATTTTCCTGTCGTTTTATTAGGATGAGATTATTTGTTTTATCAAATTATAATAAATCATGGTAACAATGAACAAGAACCTATAAAAATGCTATTAATGTCATTTCTTGGCAAAGTCTAATTTCATTTCCTCTACATTTAAAAAATTGCTATTTGTGAAAAAAATTAGGAAAATATAGGGTCACCTATTGCAGTGATTTTTAAAAGTGCAGCCAAATACTTTGCCCTTCTCACCATGAAATCTTTTATTGAAATTCAAAGTGAAATTTCTCTGATCAAATTGGGGTGAGGGTGACCTCTTCATCTTCTCCTTAGCTCTTGATATAATCTTTCCATAGAAATTTTAGGTCTTCTGAAATGGATTTAGAAGCATTGGTTTAGGTTCTCAACTTTGGCCCTCTAGACAGTTAAGGCTGCAAAGTTCTGTGTTGTGTGACTAAACTGTACATTGTAGGTTCTTTAGTAGCATCACATGTCTTCATCTATGAGGTGCCAGTAGCAATTTCCTCTTCCCAAATGTCTCCAGACGTTGCTCAATGTCCCCCTGGGGGCTGGAAGAATGGGGTGCAAAATCACCCCCAGTTGCAAACAACTGCTCTAGACAACAGACTGACACACATAGTGCAGATATTAGGAGGTGAGCTAAGGAGTATTAGGTGATGCTTTTTCATTATTATTATTTTTTAATCTGAAGTCCCACCATATTTGCTCTGTTCAAACTGCTTTGGCATCCATGCCCCAGGGAAATGGAGGTCAGAACTGAAGTACAAAGAGAAATGAAACAAGATAATGCTCAGCCTCTGATCTCCCAAGGGCTAGATCCTAGATTAAACAATACATTTGGATGAATACTTAGCTATCCTGTTTTGCCTGGCACAGGGATTGAATCTAAAACCCTCTGGGCTGGAAGAGACAAGCTAGAGCTTTGGAAAGGAAGCAAGAGCATTGAGTGAAGTGTTAAACTTCTGTGTGTATGGTGAGGGAAAAGGATAGACTTTTCTTTAAATTTGAAAATCTGAGGTTAAAAGTCATTTGTCTTTGCTTTGTTGGGGAGAACTCCCTTATACCACAACAAACTGGACACTAGACAGTAACAGTGTCTGTGGGGAGAGAACCAAATACAAACTGTCAAGTTTCCTGTAACCTCAGAAAGGGATGGGAGAATGGGCCAAAGTTTTTTTTGCCTCATTCCCTGTACCTTGCCCAGTTAAAAGAAAATTACCCAGTAAGACATCAGTGGGTGTATGGGGGTTTTATTCTTGAGAGGGGTGATACATCAAAGACTGCAGAGTACAACAACCGTCTAGGGGTTGGGTGGTCCATCAGTTTTGTCTTAACCAGTGCTGGCATATAAGGCAATATGTATAAGGATCAGACAGGACCTGATGCATTTGAGGTGGCTGTTACGGATCCAAATTGAGTAAATCCATCAGGGTTCTCTGCCAACACCTGAGTTACTTAGTGTCAACCCTATAAGATGTGGGTGACTCTTGAATCACACAGAGTTGAAAGCTTAAAAGTCTAAGGACAATCATATCCATGAAAGCAATGGAATTTAAAGTGATTGTATTTTCTACATCTTGCTGAATGGTGCTTAAGGCAGAAGTCTATTCCTCTTCATCCTCAATTTCTGTGTCCCTTGTAATATTGTCAAAAGAATGAGCTAGTACATAAGCACCTTCTCTCAATAAGCAGACTCAATAATTAAAAATACGCTCTTACAATAAGGCCTGAAAGGACCTTTATTATCATTTAGTGACTTGAGTAACACTAGGAAAAGAGAAAACAAAAACTATCCTGATATTTAGTCACTGAGGTATAGTTTACTTTGACTGCTTTAAGAAAGCATGGAAGGATAGCAAGTTGGATAGATGGATGAATATCTGATAAAGCTAACATTGCAAAAATGTTAATTATAGATTCTAAGTAACAGGAATATGGATATTCAGTGTACAGTTCTTTCAAATTTTCTGTATATCTGAAAGTACTCATCATAGCATACAACAAAACTAAAAGCCACTATTTTGTGCCAATACTTTTATTTTGTTTTTATTATGCAGTATTAGAAACACTAGAGACAACTTTAACTCTCTAAAGACATTTGTGTTTATGTGTAGATTTTGTACAAATGTGAATGGAAGTGAGGGTCAAATACACACTCTACTTCCCTCCAGACCAGCCCCAGCTGCTGTGCTGAACACTTCAGGAGCCTTATTAGGATTAGCTGGCATTATCCCTACTTGCCCTTCTCATATTTCACAACTCCTCTTGGAATTTTCTAATAATTGTACAGTAGTATGTTGTGGTTCATCATCTTGACTTGACACTTTTTTGGGGGACAATGTAAATAAAAATACTTCTCACTACTACCGATGCCTATGAAACATAAATTAGAATTCCTTGTCCTAATTTGCCGTTGACAAGTCTTAGAGGCAAAGGTAAAACAAAATTCTTGAACCAGCAAACTTGCTTCTACAAGTACAAAGGAATTTCAATAGTGGCCTCAGGAAAAAGTGGATGAAACCGTCAGTCACATAAAAGAATTTAAGGGGGAAAAGAATTGATGCTTCATCAAATGGTAGAATTCAAATGTTTCAGCATGTCACTGACCCCTGGTACTGAATCTTACATTCTTTGAATCCCTAAAAGATAAAGAAGATGGTTAGATGCCTCCATTAAGGCCTACTGAAAAGTGTTTCAATCTCACACATTAATTATACACAGCATTCATCCCACATAAGAATGCTCAGTTATAATAACTTTTAATATGTATTCATTTTGAATATTTGTATTATTTATTTTAAATAAGAAATAACTAATACATAATAAAATGTGTAGATCTTAGTTATTAAATTTGACAAATGTAGCTGCTATTGGAAAATATTTACAGTATTCTTAGATTGGGTCAAAATGTTCAAATCTTTTTGGGTTTCCCACTGCTAATCAGCAGTAGTAAGAAATCAATAATGGGTATTGCTCTAAGTAGTAACCTGAATAGTTCATGACCATACTTGATAATAACCACTCTTAAAGTTCAATCTGGTATATTTCTTGAAGAGGAAGAAATTTAGCTGATTTAATGTTACTGTAATGTTTTTATAGGCTTTAAGTATCTCAACCACTAAACCTGAGAGTGTTAACTGACATATGAATTTCAAGGAAATTAATCTTATTATGGCTGGAGTGGAATAAATTTCAAAGAAAACACTAAATTTGTGTTAGATTGTTTTCATTGATACCATGTACATGGATACTGTGTAAAGGAAGTTAACCACTATCTTAGGTACTGGTAGCCATTGCCCATGGAAACTCATTCTGTCATACCACCTAAGTACATCCATGAATCCATTCCCAGGATTGACATAGGGTCAGATACTCTGCTGGTCTGAGTGTGCAGTGCTAGAATTCTACATCCTCATCGAAAGGTTTTTTTTTAATATTTTAATTTTTAATTTTTAAATTTTCATTTTATTTGAAAGGCAGAGAGAGAGAGACAGACAGACAGACAGATAGAAAGCTAGAGAGGTCTTGCATTTGCTTCTTTGTTCCCCAAATGGTCACAATAGCCAGGGCCGAGGTATGGTGAACTCCATCTAGGTCTCCCACATGGGTGGTAGGGACCAAGTACTAGGGCCATCACCTGCTTCTCCAGGATATGCATTAACAGGAAATTGTCTCAAAAGTGGAAGAACACTTTGAATAACAGGATGATTATCCCTAAAATATACACATCCAGTACAACATAGATAGTAATTCTGTAAACATGTATAGTGATGATGCTATGAGCTGAAAATGTGAGCACAAACCAGCACGTCCCCACTTCAAGTGGCACATCTTCAAGGGTTCATAAAACAAAGACATTAAAGATAGTAAAGGGGTTATGTATCTATTTTGCATATAACTTGATGACATTCTCCAATGATTTCTATTGTAATGTAAATAGTATTTTTGTTTCAGAGGATAAAAATCATAATTGATGGTAAAAAAAGAAACAAAGGAACTGGTACTTTAACCAGGCACTATGTTATGGGATGTGAGTGTCCCACACAGTGACTTAACTGTTGAACCAGATGCCTGTCCCATAATCAAAAGGCTTTACACTCCAACAGGAATATTACATGTGTACCTACTCTGTAGAAGGTATTAGATAGTTAGAGTATATTTCTATATCCTGTATTCTGTTATCAAACTGTCCCCACTTTAAGGATGAGACATCTGTAGATCAGAAACATAAATTTTCTAAGGTCATCTACCTACTAACTGGTGAACTGCTTAAATAGTCTTTATTGATATTGTCCAGCTAACTAGGAAAATCTGAAATCATTCAGTCAGAATAACTATACTAAAGCACACTGTCATTTGGGGTGCTCAGAACACAAAGCTAACAAGTATTAGCACCAAAAAAATTAGTTCTAACACATTCTAATTGTTTCTGTTACTGCTTTGGAAGCTGTGAATATTAATCCCCTTTTATTCTTTCAGTTCACTTATGCTCATGATGAATATTTCGTTTGAACACTGGATTCCATGGAAGAGAAGTCTGAAAACCACTGATCTCATCTGATACTTCCATGATTGAGGTAAGAGAGCTGAGACCTTCAGAGTGACTTATATTTTATTAAACCAAAGTGAATGGGAGAGCTTGGACTAGTTCCAGACAGTTCAATAAACACACATAGAGTTTCTGTTATGCATGTGACCCTGAGTTAGATGTGCAAGTTATACATATCCCTAGTTTTCTACCAGCTCACATTATATGGGCAAACTCAGATCTCTTGATAATAAGTCCATTAATGTTTCTGCCCTATCACTGCTGCTTGTTAGATTCTGATAGTTCATAGACACTACTTCTCATCTACCAGGTTTTAAAAGAAAGGACCGTATTACAGTCATTTCATACTAAGTCTAAACAGTTTACTTGTCTCACGCATTAGATCTATTTCCCTTCTTTTAAGAGGATAGCTACAGATAACTATGTAGTTTAAATCAAGGACCAAGCAGAAGAGAAAGGTAATTGTTTGTGAGGGAAAGAAGCGAATGCTGAGGTGGCATGAGCGGTTAGTAGATTTGGGAATGAAGACTTTATCGCATTCCTGTTTACCTATACTCTCTTGACTCAAGAGTCTGTGGATGTTACCACCAGGGCCTTGGGAAGGCATATGCCACAAATAAAAATGTAAACATTGGCCCTGGCAAGTAATAGTGCAATGATTCTTTTTTCTAAAAAGATGATTTATTAACTTATTTGGAAGAACTACAGAGAGAGAGAAACAAAGATACAGAGAAGCAGAGACACACAGAGAGAAAGAGAGAGATTTTCCATCTGCTGGTTCACTCCCCAGATGGCCACAATAGCTAGGACTGGACCAGGCCAAAACCAACAGCCAGGAGATTCAACCAGGTCTCACATGTGGGTGGCAGGGTCCCAAACACTTGAGTCATCTTCCACTAATTTTCCCAGGCAACTAGCAAGGAGCTAGATCAGAAGTGGCACAGCAGGGATAAGAATCAGCACCCATATGCGTTTTCTGGTGTTGCGGGTGGAGGCTTTACCTGCTATATCACAATACCAGCTCCAGTGCAATGATTCTTAATATCAATTTTCTCTTCTCTAAAACAGTAATTAGATTAGTATCTACATCATAGAATTTTGTTGAGATAATGCTTCTGAAGTTCTTAGGATGGTGCTGAATAATGGATCCCACAGCATTCTTGACTATGGAATGCTAGCCAAACTAGCTCAAGGGAACTGGTTACTGTTTCAAGATCAATCTGAATGACCTTGTCTAGTCATTTGGCCAGTATGTTGATTTCCATTTCTTACAAAGTCAAAATTCTGGGAAGGTACCTGAAAATACTTTCTCTGCAGGACATCTTGAAGTACTCACTTGCTTTCAGAAATGGCTAATTCTGGGATAGATAACCCAGATGCAGATTATAAACTTGCATGATGGACTTGCTCATGTGGGGAAAACCCGTGGCTTCCTGGCAGTGAACTTGGTCACACCAATCAAGAAAAGAAAGGCCCTTGAGCAGGATGGGAGCAAAATCACTTCCCTTGTTGTTATCACTCTATGAACCAATGCTAGACCTCTGCACAGGTGGAGGTTCATGTTTGAGGACCATTGAACACTACCTATTTCCCTAATGCATCATAATTAAACACCTGTGCTAAATAACTTCTTACTGTTCCACTGTGGAAATTTACTGGGTGCTCAACAGTCCTTGACACTTTCTATCTCTTACTTGGGAGGGTGGTCTTAAGGTTATGCTTTGAATCTCTTTTTTTAAAATAGCAGTTTCTTCTGCACCATGGAAAACTCTTGAGGTGTGGATTTCAGACCTTTCAAGGACATTTAGGGAAGAAAATATTTTATGAATTTGGGAGGGATTTCTATTTTCTCAAAAGCAATGGTAATTAAAGTGCATTATGCAATTGTGAAGTGACATTTCTGAAAGCACTGGGGTTTTTAAAATTTGTTTTTGTTTTAGATATCACAGATACAGTGAGGAGGATGAGAATATGTTGCCTTCTTAATGAAGCTGGCTATGCTAATATGAGAAATATGCATAAACCAGGTGACCTAGAGCTGCTCTGTGTGTCATACAGCTCAGCAAAAATGGCCCTTTCAGATTGTCATACACTCAGTTGCAGTACACATCAACATTGCATTGAGTCTTTTTCTTTCATCCTGAACAGCAGATAGAAAACAGGTTTGGCCTAGGGCTAACATTGTGGCTCAAGTGAAGTCTATCTTCAACTTTTATCACTTCCCCTTTCTTGATGGTAACCTCACATTTTGGGTGTTGTGTCTGTTTGCTCATTGTTTTCCCTCTGTCAAAACAAGAAATAGTAATAGCTAATGGATATTATTTATTATCTATTTAATCTTACATGTATTTTCATGAAAACTGAATAGGTACCTTTTTTGGACCCTATATTATAGAAGAAAGAATTCATGCTGTAGGAAGGTAAAAAATATGCATTGTGTTCAGTGGCATACATTTGTCACAATTGGTAATTGAACCTAAAATCTAAGTGACACAATAGTTTATTCATTTTTTACTCAAGAAAGAATTTGTGACTTGTGCTTGATTATTTCAATTTTTTCAGTAAGTACTCTTGAGAAAGTATTCTCCTCAAAAAGGCACTTCAACTTTCCTGGTAAGGGAACTTTTGTGCATTACTAAAAGGGAAGGAGAAATTGGGAAATCTCTTTAGATATAGGTTATGCAAGGCAATTCTCCAAATTTTCCTGATTTTGTCATGTTAAATGATTAATTGAGGAGAGCTCTGTATCTTAAATTCTCTTCTCCTTCATCCTTTTGTCCCCTATTCTCAGAAACATCTAAAATGCTGCATTGCAGAAAGAGCACCCGGGCAATTGTGATTGTGAGTTTGGTGGTTGTCTTCATTTGTTTTTTGTTGCTAAAACAAAATACCTTAGGCTGGGAAAGTTATAAAGTTTTTGGATGTCGAACATTCAAGATTAGCTATCTCCATCAATTTGGCCTCTGGTAAGGGCCTTCTGGTTGCCTCACAACATGGCAGATGACATCTTCTCTGGAGCACATGTGAGAAGGGGAAGAGAAATCAAGTGCTGACACAGCAAGCAAGAGACTAGGGGAGGAGAAAGCCAAGGCAACCTGCTCTTGGGAACTAATCCAGTCCCACAGAACCTGACTGAATCCTACAAGACAGCATTAATCCATTCATGAGGGTAGAGCACCCATGACCTAATTCCCTTTCACAAGGCCACACCTCTTAGAAAGTCCACTGTTTTGGCCATAGCAAGGATCAAGTTTTCACACATGAACCTTTGGGGGAACAAACTACATAAAACTCACATGACACAAAGCTACAACTTTATATTTCCAGACTCAAATGAGTCCTCAATTCTTCTCAGTAATACTTTCCTATGTCCCAAAGTTTTTCTTTCTTAACAATAGATATATCACAGTTTTAATCATGATTCTGAGGATCTAACCTCTCAGATGAGCATCTCAGCTGGAATTTAGAGAGAAAACATGCATTCTCAAGTGAGTGTTCCATAAATTATTTAGATATTTAAGCCACCTTTATCCACGTTCTCCATTTTATTTTTTAGGAAAAGGTGTATCTGTGCTTTTGTTCTAAGACAATCGTTTCACATCTGTTATGGAACCTCTTTAATTCTCTACCTTTCTCTATTTGCCACATCTTACTTTATTTTTCACTTTTGTATTTTCCTTTGTATTTATTCATTCTTCTTATGTTCTCTTGCCTCTTTTGTCTTCAAAAACCAAAATGACAGTTTTTACAATGACCAGAGTTCTCAAAATATATCTGCTTTTCTCCAGCTCTTGGCTTCTATCTCTACCATGAAGGTTAATGACTTCTGAACCACTCAGCACTATGGACAATGTTCAGCCCTGATTTCACTATCAATGTAATTGGATATTCTTGTCCTCTTCTTCTTTTTTTCTTTTTTAAACTGGTTCTGGTTCTCTGATTTTTCACACATTAGAATTTCCTGGGGAGCTTTTTTTTTAAGATTTATTTTATTTGTTTGAAAGACAGAGTTAGAGAGAGAGGTAGAGACAGAAAGAAGTCTTCCATCCTATAGCTTACTCCCCAGAAGGCCGCAAGGACCAGAACTGCACCAATCCGAAGCCAGGAGCCAGGAACTTCTTCTAGGTCTCCCCCATGGGTGCAGGGGCCCAAGAACTTGGGCCATCCTCTACTGTTTTCCCAGGCCATAGCAGGGAGCTGGATCAGAAGAGGAGCAGCCAGGACTAGAACCGGTGCCCATATGGTATGCCGGTACTTCAGGCTAGGGCTTTAGCCCACTGAGCCACAGTGCCAGCCCCTTCTCTTGCTTCTTAGAGTCATTTTAGTCAACCTCATGAGCTTCCTTTCCTCCACCCAATCTTTAAATGTGGGGTGGGGTCTTTCCTCTGTCATCTCTCCTATTTCAGTCTTTCCCCTTGGATAACCTCATCTAGGCCAGTGACTTCCACTACCAACACTCTGATTATGTGCAATTCATATCTGTGTGTCAGATCTCTGAGTTCTAGAACAATGTAGCCATCTTATGGTTGATGTTATCTCTTAGATGTACTATGGATCTCCAATTCATCATCTCCCTTACATACTCCACCATGAATCTTGTTCCTGAATCTCTTTATGGACATAGACACTCATTTAGAGACCCAAGCCAGAAATTGGGCCTATATTCTTCTTATGTATCCTGTATTCATTCCATTCCTTTCCTTCTTGCCACAATCTCTATTATTCCCCTTAAATATTTCTTTTTATTTTTCAGCTTTCTTGAGGCAGAATTGAAAAAAATGTTTATTAATGTATGAATTTTTTAAAGATTTATTTATTTATTTTGAAGGGGGGAGAGAGAGAGAGAGAGAGAGAGAGAGAGAGGAAGAGACAAAGAGAAAGATCTTTTATCTACTTGTTCACTCCCCAGATGGTCAAAACAGCCAGCGCTGGGCCAGGCTGAATCCAGGAGCCAGGAGCATCATCTAGGTCTCCCACATGCATGGCAGGGGCCCAGACATTTGGGACATCTTCCACTGCTCTACCCAG